TATATATATATATATATAATGATTTAATACAGGAGTTTGAAATGCAAACACAGGGTTTATTCGTCGCAAGTCACCTAACACCAAAGGTTGAGATAGTGTCATTTGAGAAGGTGTTAGGTGCTCGATGAGGACATATCAATGAGATTAGGCGTAAGCCTTCCAAAAAAACCTCAAATTATTGTGAGGGATAGTCCTCGCAACCATAATCACAACAAACTAAGGTAAAAATAATATCAACAAATTCTTTTAATTTCAAACTCACATACAAAGATCGATAAATGCATGTTAATTTTGTAATTTTGATGCTCGTTGATTATTTTTTATAATCTTGGGTAAATAGAAGTTTGATAGTTTGGTTTATGTTGTTACTTTGGTAATTGGAAGTTTGATATGTAATTTGATATTTTGGTATGTTGATAACTTGGTAGTTTGGTATGTTTGTAGTTTTGGTAATTAATTTGAAGTTTGGTATGTAGTTTGGTTTACGTTCTTACTTTGGTATTTTAGTTTATGTTAGTTTGTCATTTTGAAATCTTTGGTATTTGAAGTTTGATATGTATTTTGGTATTTTGGTATTTGATAACTTGCATTTTTGGTATGTTGGTAGTTTTGATCATTTATAGGAAGCTTCGGATGTAGTTTGGTTTATATTATTGGTATGTTGATAACTTAGATGCAAATATGTTAGAAATTTATATTAATGTACATATTATTTCATATGCAACCGATGTGCTATTATAAAAAAACGCGCCATTTAGAAAGAAACCTGCAAATTGGTTTTGATCGTTGTAGCTACAAGATGATATCGGGGGTGATGATGAGGAGAATGAGGGGCCGTAGATGGAAATGATGACTTGTTTATGTTTAGTTTTATATTTTATTAATATTAATGTTGTACGTTTGTTAATGATTTTAATATGAATTTTGTATTAAGAATTTTTTTAATGATGATGTGGATTATGTATTTCTACAATTTATATATTGCTTTTATGAATTTAATAGCCTTTTAAAAATGTTTTTATAGATTAGTTGTAAAAATAAAAAATGTTTTAGTGGCGATAGGAGACAGTAGAGGCAACGAGCTTTAACAACGACAGTAACAGCGGCGACAAATAATTGAGGGATAGATATAGGAGATAGTAGAGGCAACGAGCTTTAACAACGACAGTAATAACGGCGACAAATAATTGAGGGATAGACAGTGGCGGCGTATTAATAGTGAAATGTCGTCAATATCTTTAGCGGCGACTTGGGTTGCCACTAATATCTCTACTTTTTGTAGTGAGATACCTACTCTCCTATCATGCTAGAATTTAAAATTGATAATGAATTGCTCAATAACGAGAATGAAATCGTGCTGGCCAAATGCTACGATATCGTGGATGGTTTGTATTGAATAATAAAGAAATGTACATAAATATTGATTACAATACATCCTAACCGTTAGGTCATCATGGCCTTTAAATTTTTAGGGCTCATTTTTTATATATCTATTTATTTTATTATAAGAAAAAAAGTGTTAGATATTAAGTCCTCATAGGCAGTGGCTAAAATTGAAAAACGAGATTTGAGCCAAAAATTGGTGTAGTAGACGAAGACATTTCAACCGATTTTTCATAAATATAAGAAATAAATCATTTCTTTACTTAAAGAATTATTGATAAGAGCCTCATTTATTATTATTATTATTATTATTATTATTATTTTGTCTAAGACCTTAAATGAGCTTCAATTGGCCCACGTCTTAAACAATTATTATTTTTGAATTTATTTTTTTTATTAAATTCTTCCTAATAAATTAAAATAGTTTTATCACTTGTTACCTATAGTTAGAATGGAAGGCAAATGAACGGAGGTCAGGCGACGCAAATCACCGGAAAAGTCAAGAGTAGATCATGAAGAAACCAGTTTCTTCGTCTCCAACATTCCCAACAGATCAACAAAGGCGGAATTTAGGAAGATCTTCTCACCCTATGGCAGTCTGTCTGACATCTATTTCGGAATGAACAAAGAGAAAAATGGAAAGAACTATGGATTTGTCCGATTCCTAGGTGTGGAAGACGTCAAAAACTTGGAATCCAAGTTACACGGGGTTATATGCAGAAACAATATACTGGAGGTAAACATTGCTAGACATGGGAGGAAGGCGCCTCACGAACCAATACGTCACAAATCGAGACCGCCGACAACCATGGGAACTCACAACATTGTCGGATCGGGATTTGTGGATAACCGCTCATACGCACAAGTCACCGGTGCCAAGGCGTCGCATCGGCCTCCTATAATCAGATCAGTTGGGTCTCCTGGTTCTTTCCCCACGATCAAACTACAAAGCGATAAACACATGGATCATTGGATAAAAAAATCCACTCTTATTGGCGAAGCCAAATCGATTCCTCACTTAGGACATATGCCGACGTTGATATCGTTCCACAGTGAGCATCGACCCTCTGTCAAATACCTACGTGGATTGTTGGCTCTCATCAACTTTGATTCCACAGTCAACGCGCGGAGGTTCCTCGAAAATGATAGCAACTGGAAAGATACGTTTAATTGGTTAAAACACGGTGGCATTGAAGAATCAAAATTCGAAAGGGTTGCACGGGTTAGGATTGTGGGTCTACCTCTAAGACTCTGGTATGAATCCAATTTTAATGCAATACTTGCAAAATTTGGGAAATCGATTGCTCCTTTTGAATAGATCCTGGAGCGGGTGGACCTATCTGTTGTAAAACTTGTCATTCTCACTAGCGAAAAGAAAAAACTTAACGATGAATTTAATGTGGAGGTGGATGGTATCTCTTTCACTGTGGGTGTGGTCGAATACGAAGATGAACCATGGTTTCCTTTTAAATTTGACACCGAAAATGAACCATATGAAACATATACTTCAGATTCCGACTCAAAATTGGCAAATTCTCCAATGGCGGAAGCTACTGATGATGACGACGACATTGATTCCTCAGATGAGGATTCTATTGAAGATACATAAATTAAAGACGGTGAGATTGTTCAGGCCATGGATGATGCATCCCCAACACCGCCGCCTACTCCCACAGAGGCTCCCTGTGCCGGATTTGAATCCACCGTCGTCGAATCTCCGCTTCCCGACGTCGCTTTGAATTCTGAATCATCGACGGAACTATTGGAGTCCCAAGACTTACGCGCGTGCTTAAAATCTGAGGAATTGGAACCGTCACTCGAGCATGGTGCTGAGGTTAATGCTAACGGTAATACATTTACAGATCCATGGGTTGTCGAATCCTCAATACATGTGGACCATAATGGGTCGGATCCTATAGGAGTTGGTACCAATGGGCCCATCCCTTTTCCACATGATCTGGCTCACTAAGGGTGCTTTGGTCCTTTCCCGTCAACATCTCCACATCCCTATATTCCAACTTTGGTCATTCCGGATGCATCTGTGAATTATCGATCCTCGGCAAAACGCAAACGTGGACTCCGCTCCCCAACTGGTGATCTCCCCTTTCCGGTCAACTTGTTCCCAAATTCTACTCCCCAGGAAGAGCTTATTGGATCTCGTACATTGATTCCTCCATCTCTTAATAGTTAATAACCCTCCCCTCCTCCTCGGTCAAAATTTCTTAAACTCAAGGTTGAACTATCATCCCTCTTCTGCATCGTTGCCGTTGTCTGAAACTGAAGCCACTGCTGTCGTGGGCTCTTTGATTGGATTCGAAATTCAACTGGATAATACTGTGTTAATTGAAGTCCTAGGTGAATTGGGTGAGATCAATGGTCCCCAATGAATTTTCTCTCCCTTAATATTCGTGGCATTGGAGAAGACCATAAGGTGTCTTGGGTCAGAAGGCTAAGAGCAGCACACAACTTTCTTTCATTGCTATACAGGAAACTCAGTTATCAGATGCATAATATATTGATGTTGCATCGTGTTGGGGGTCGACTGAATTAGGCTCAAGCAGGATTAATGCATCTGGACGTTCTGGGGGGTTATTGAACTTATGGGATAGAAATATGTTCAGTTCTACTCAAGTATTATCCTCAAAACATTATCTCATCAATATCGGAACCTGGGTGGGGGTTCAAAGATCGGTGATTTTTGCAAACATTTACGGACCCCAACCGACTACAGAGAAAGCTAACCTTTGGGATGAACTAAAAGAAATCATTCAGACATATGACGGCGTGTGGATCCTACTAGGTGACTTTAACGCTGTTAGGCAACCAGAAGAGAGATTTAACTCTATCTTCTGCAATCGAACTGCTCGAGATTTCAACAATTTCATCAGTGAAGTGGGACTGAGAGACCCAAAAATGGGAGGTTTTCGTGTAACACCCCGATTATTTATTAAATAAATAAATAAATTGATGAATGTATAGTAGCCCTAAAATCCATAATTATATAAGCAGGGTGTTGGTTTCGAGGAGTTAATTGGCATAATTTAGAAGTTGAGGGTTAAAAGTGCATGTTCTGGATTGGTTTTGGTAAGTATTATTGAAAGCAGGGACTAAATGGTAACTTCTGGGATTTCATTTGAAGAGATTCTAGGGCTAAGGGGTTGAAAGGGTAATTTAGGGATTTATTTTGAAAGAAAAGAGGGAATGGGGGACTGAATATGTTACTATGGAAATAAGTTCACGGGGGTTCGGGGTATATAACCCGTCACCTCCCAGTCCAAACCCTAACCCTATGCAACAACACCCGCCGCCACCTTATGTCTCCCACCTCCGGTCGCCGCCACCTTCTATCCCCATCCTCCATCCGCCACAGCAACCCAACCGTCGTTAAGTGCCACCGCGTCGCTGTTGCTGGAAACGTAAGTGAAGCCGGAAAAGTTGCTGAGATCAACGAGGGAGGCCGAGATCGTTGCCGCCGCCATTGGAGGTCGTCAACATCATTGATAAGCGTTGTTGTTTGAGCTGTCGGGCTAGCAGCAACCCATTTCTTCTTCTCTTTCATTGTTTCTGGCGTGCGTGGCGTAGGGAACACCTTTACTGCCACTGCATGCCTCAATCGCCGCTTCCTCTAACTCTAAGGCTGCCAGCCGCCAAGTCGGTGGCTGAAAGCTGCTGTTGCGTGTTGTATCCCTCGGGTGTTGACGTGTTGCTGGGGCAGAAAAGCAAGAGAAACCACCGCCACCACCGTGAGGTGGTGGCTGTCATCGCAAAGCACCGCCAACCGGTATCCAACCTCCTTCTGCCGCCGCCATGAGCCACCAGGTGGGTGGCTGGGGTGCATCTCACAAATCAGTATCTTGTGTGTGTTGATCTTAGGGCTTGTGTGTGTCTTATGTGGCTGGAAAATCAAGAAAGGCCACTGCTACCACGTGCCATCGCCGGCCACCACTAGGGTGGCTGTATGTGTGTGTTAGAGTAGTTAGTGTGTCTGTATGTTTATTTTGTATTAAAAGCTTTGTAATTGTAATTAGCAAAAGAGTAATGAAAAGAACCATAACCACAACCGTGAACCGCCGTTGACCACCACTACCCAAGGTGGTAGTGGGTGGTGCCCCACTAGCAAAACCCTAATTCACCTAATGTGTGACAACCTGAAATTTTTGCCTTGTAAGTCTAGCCATTCAATTCAACCGAGTTTCAGACCCGTTTCTGCTATCTTTTAGCATCGTTTAGAGTCTGTTTAAGGGTTCGAAGCTCAGTACAATCAAGCTATGGGTTTAGGGATGTGTCAGCTAAAGTTCTTCGCGTTGCAATCGAGCCTAACACTCCATCCAAGGGAGTGTACGGCCATACACATGGGTGTATGGCCGTACACCCATCATGTCCGTACACCTCCCTCATATATAGATGATATCCTGCATTTTCCTTCATTTCTTCAATTTCCAAGTCAAGAAACCAGTTTCTCTCTCAATTATCATCGAATTCCTCATCATAGATCATCAAAAGTGTAAGTGTTTCTTCCATATTTGAGTTGTTATCCTTCTTAATCATGTAT